TGTAATTAACAAGTTACAGACGTATTTATTTCTTACGAGCGCAATATTTTTTTTTCTGTAGCTGGGCCCGTTTTGTGCTCCTTAATGTCAGTGTGCTATGACGTTATCATCATGTGTTTATGGTTCTAAATATCCTCTTTACAATGCCTACAAACGCCAAAATGACGTCAGCCGACCCCAACTCACGCATTAAACACGAAAACTGCGTCGCTCGGATGTATGCGCTCGTCAGCAATCAATTCGTCCATGGATATTTGAATTCGCGTTCCTGGCCAGTGAGTGCCCTGACAAAACTTATCATCACTTGCGAATGCCAAGTTCTACGGTGCGCTTAAAAAGCACGGTGAAAGCTTGGGGTCATCGCACCAGTGCCCTAGCATGTCACGACTGCGTTATTTCACAGTTCTCTTTTGAGTTGAGGATTACAGGTAAGCAAGAAGAAGTTTAAAAATAATTTCGTGGCCCCTTTAACACGATTATGTGTGCTACACCAGATAAAAATATTGACTTTTTGAATGCGGGTAAACTTCCGAACGACCATTTGGCATGTCGGCAAGAACATCTCATATGCGACGTCCGTCTCTTTCGATGGCGTCAACAATTCCCTAAAGACCACGAGGCCGTCCTTCTTGGTTGAACCCCGTTGACGTCGCTCCTCACCAGTCGGTGAGAAAATCTCATCTTGAAGGGATGATCGGGTCTTGAAGAAGTATGATGCTAAACATATGCTCGCTCACTATGGGGCAGTCGTGCAGCAGTCATGTCCCGAGCCAATCGTCCTGTCGTGGCCGGCGTAATCGGATTTTGTTCCATCGGAGCGAAGTCCGAAAGTACTAGGACGGTGCGTTCGTCCCACGAAGCGGCCGCCATCCCGGCGGCGCCGAAAACCACTCGCCTTGTCCGTGCACGTACGATACCATAGCAGCTCTCGTCGCCCGACAGTCCCCGGGCTGCAAATCGTCTCACTTTTCAGAAAAAAACAGGCACCGTTCCTCCAGAGGTTCTTGCCGTGCCGCGATGACAAGCGTCTTATACCACTTTTCAATGAACGAATGGAGATATCAACTAGATTACAAAGGTTGCCGCCCGGCGTCGCTGGAAGCACGGTTACCATGGCAACCTCCCAGGCCCAAAATGGAGATCACTATCAGCGCTTCTGACGTCGTGCATCTAGATAATTTTGCGTCGTGTCGCTACTCTGGCAGCTACGCTGCCATATAGAGTGGCTCTACCTGAGCCATGTCGGCGACCGGTTCGAGAGGGGTTGGCGGTGGGGTTACGTTGATGGTCACTCGGATTAGCCCTTGCTGTACTGAGCTACCGCCTGCTGTGCCTTATCGCCGGCTGGTGTCAACAACGAGAACACACACACCCTGTCTACACCAAAACTACAAGCGTTCACCGCACACGCGTCGCCGCCGCTTTTAAGCTTTTGTGAAATTGCTTTCTTTTGCCGCGGAGAACCGCCTTATCTTAACTACGCGCCTGAAATCCTTCCAGGCGGGCGTACACAATATCAAGCGTTTCGAGAAATGCCCGTGGAGTAGAACTATGGGAAAATTCGGAGCCCGCGATGTCGATATCGTCGCCGTTGTGTTAGTACGCCGTCGCGTACTGCAGTCCCCCGTTGGGGGAGGGGGGGGGGCGGTCTTACTACGATAACATGGCGACAGCGATTACACTCTATGTATTTACGCGAGGCTCGAGTATTTGGGGATAATGCTGCCGGTTGGTGTGCCCCTTTGTGCCTGATATTATCGCCCGGGACGCCAGCGAGTGAGATGGCGACAGGCATGACTGCTCAGTAAACAGGCGTCGGCGGCCATGTTTTGCTGGTTGAAGCGAACCCCCTTGTCCTTGACAGCGAGCGGGGAAATGCGAAAAAAAAGATTGTATCGGCCGTTTTGCCAGAACTAGCGACGAGTGTCGTCTGCGGTTTCCGGCAACTATTTTGCCATAATCGTGAGCTTAGCGAGGAAATGATTTTTGCTAGCCACAGAAAACTACCACGCAGAAAGGGAATGCTTGAACATGTTTTTGTTCTGGATATATATCAGGGATATATATGAGAGAGAGAGAGAGAGAGATGAAGGTAGAGCGGAAGAGGGAATAGCATATAGTGTCGCAGGAGAATAAGGTAAACAAAGTTCCTAGTGGCCGATGGCTGCATGATCTTTTCTCGGATCACTAGTCCGTAATATGATACCTCTTTGTACACAGTAGTTTCTCCTTAATTTAAGTGTGTGAACGATTTCTTTAGTTATCATTGGCCACATCTGAATAAAAATATATAAAAGATGTGTGTTGGTTTCATGAAACTGGAACTCAGAGTCAGTTCTTGTATAAAACACTGCTAAGTGTAGGCTTTGAAAAAGGACCCTACTTTGGGGAATTGTATCTTCTTTCTCAATAAAATGATGCAACATGTTTTTAATGGAAATGAATGCCGAAATAGAGTATAACAGGTTACCTAAATTTAAAAAAATCGAGGTTGGTGTTTTTTTTTTATTCGCATCGGAATTTTTCTTTGTTTGATTTTTTTTCCATGTTTGACTAAATATATCCTAACTATTGTATCACACAGATACCTTAGTTATTTTTTAAATATTAGCTATATATTAGTAGAATAACATCTGCAAATTATATCATAATGATTAAATTATTTCATGAGATACAGACCTCCAAAGTTTGCCATTTGTCGTTCGAGCAGGCATGTTTGTCAATTTTTAGAAAAATAAATAAATTTTAAATAAATATGATTACTTTATATTACAAGCAAGCTATACCCATAGTTTGCGCCTAAAACGTATTAGAGTTCTCCTAATGTTATCGCTTTAGTTATTCACTCTCAAACGGGCCCCCTCCATCAGTGCGCGTTAATGCAACTGTCCACCACCTCATGCCTTACGATTTTTCCTGTCCCCAAGTATTTTTTCTAGTCAAAACTAAGTTTGGATTCGTTCATACCAGACACTAGACAATAACATATAAAAACATCAGTTGATTTGAAAATGTCGACTAGCCATCCTTTGGTCGATCTTATCTGAAATCACCCTTCATTTAAGCACACTGACCAGCGTCAGCGAGCAGGCGCATGAAAAATCTATGTACGTTTCTTCCGCCATCTTGGAACTAACGCCCTGCCATCTATAGGACGTTGGAGCTGCGAATATCACGGAATAATTGACGTTCTCTATAGTCAACTATATTGGACTACATTCCGTCAACCTAAACACCTTCGAAATGGCTGCGTTCGAAACTCCAAGGCAACTATATATGGTGTCTCAAGTGGACCTTCAGCTCTAAAACGAGCCGAAAAAAATCGACGCGTGCACAGAGAAAGTTTAAGCTTTCAAAGCGCACCGAGCAGGTGAATGTAATGGCGAGTTCCACTGGTCGTTTTGGAGCGCGCCGGGATCAACTTTTCTGGAGCGAGCCTATTTCCCTGTGCGATCGGGATCGAGACCGACGTGTTTCACTGGTCGTTTTGGATTACCTCCCGCTCCAGATCTCGATCTGGATCCGAGAAAAGTCGCTCCCACGATTTCGGCGGATTCAGCAGGAAGCCAGCCGGGCGATCCCTCGGCGCGCACACGTGACTTCCTTTCTCGTGGGGCATCTCGTCTGATCTCGCCCATCTCGCCTCAGAAGAAGAAGCACGTCGCGGGCTGGGCTCCTCGATTGTCTCGACATCAGAAGAATCCGTAATGGCCGCTTGCTTACCCCTTGGCTCGACAGCCGGTTCGTTTTCCAGGAAGGAGAAGAGAAGGTATTTGCCGCGCTACGGGCATTCCGGCAATCTTTGCTAGAAGCGCCTAGGCCATTTCCTGCCGCTCGTGCGTGGAACACGTGTTAGCGCCGCGATTGCGAAAACGTCTTCGAAATGACCGCGGCGACCGCGGAAAGGGGATTCCCGGGCAGCTGAATGACGGGAAAGCATCCGCCGATGCCGGAGCAGTGGTCATGTTCCACTGGGGATCCGGAGGCGGCGCGACCAAAACGCCCAGTGGAATTCGCCATTACTGTGTGAAATCTGAAGGCGTAGTTCTCTTCCTGTAAAGAAATTAGGTAAAAATCCTTGCCAAAGTCCATGTTAGGCCCGTTCGCAGACGACCGAGTCACTGACGCGATGTAATTTCCCGATAGGCAGAGCGAGCAGACGCGGACCTTATCGAGAGATGGCGCCACAAGTTAATGGCGTCGGTAGCTCGGTCGTCTGCGCACGGGCCTAACGTCGAAATTGAAGAGTTTTTTTTTTTTTTTTTGCTCTAATTTTTTACAGAAAAAAAAATACGCGTCGAGGTTTCACACTGTATACTGTGTGAAACCTCAAGGCTCAAGCAGGTCAGCCTTATAAGGCTGACCTGCTCAGTGCACATTCGATGAAAGTGCACTGATAAATGTAAGTGCACCCAATATATATATACACCCGAGAATCCTAAGTGTAATCCTCCACTCTAGGCTCGCATTTTGCGATCGCAGAACCTGGTCTTCACGGATAACGGATATTTAGTTGCCCCCGTGCCTAATCATTACCAATTCTGTTTCATGTTGAGAGCGCATTCATATAACTGAGACCATACGATTCGCGCTGGGCGCCTCCAGTATACAGAAGAAAGATCGCATTTGATGAACGTTTATTTGACGTCCTCGTGCGCCGGGCTCCCATATACACCGCACAAAATAAAGCCAGCATACACTGTCCTAGGCACGTGCCTCTCTCTTATATGATGATCACAATGGTAACACAAAAACATCGTAGTATGCGTAATGCAAACATGCTTCAAATGCGCTTGAGACGTCTCCGCGAATAATTCTGTCACCATTATCTGCGGAGGAACTCCGTGTATTTTGCATACGATGCATGATGTACAAGCAGTGCAACCGCGGCTTTAGCCTTCTTTCTTTTTTTGGAAACGGGGGGGATGGGGAGGGGGGGCTAAGTAGAGAAGCGTATTGTTATAGCTTACGAGCGTGTGCAAGTGTGGCGTTGTTTGCAGGACGATGTGTGCTGCTTCAACAAGTCTAACGTTGGCATGAGGGTCAGTGGCTTCGTGGACATCGAGAACAGCGAGGAGCAGCTCAAGAAGGCAGTCGCAACGGTTGGCCCAATATCTGTCGCCATCGACGCGAGCCTGCCCTCCTTCAAACACTACATGGGAGGTTCGTATCGTATTATTTGTTTTTATTACGTTCGAATTATTATGCTGCACGCGTTTAAAAGAAAGTTAGAAAGAAAAGTGTTATAATGTGTAATAATGTGTGCAATGCAGTACTAAAAGGACAGTTGTCATTTTATTGAGAAGACATTAAAGCCATATGCACAGCGCCTTTACATAAAAAATCGGTGTGGGTACGTTTATACACCCTAGGACTTAATCTGCCTCAACGGGCGACTTGTCTCCTAGCTGTAGATGATAAATCTAGCCAGTGTTGTACGTATACCGCTAGCCTGGAGTCTTTAACGTGCATCACGCAGTCGTGACGGGCCAGGGGTGGGGGACTGCAGAGCGTGTATAGAGAGCGTTCGGTCTATGGGAGGCGCGGGCAGGTCCAGGGTGTGCACCAGACCCAGAAATAGGGCTTGACATGCTCTCTTGACCAACCAGAAGCCGAAAAGAATCCCCTGGCGGTGGTAGCAAGAAACAACTTATATCATTTGTATACTTTGGAGTATGGTTTTATAAGCGCGTAAGAGTTAACTGTTGTAACTGCCTATGGTTGAAAATAGGGTGCACGTGCTGTTTCGATTATGATCATGTAGAAGGACGTAAGAAACGAATGTGCCGCCAGTCTTGTACACGTTACTAAGAAAAAGTAATCGATTACAATTACTATTACTCTTGGCTAAAAAGTATTCGATTAGATTACTTGATTACTCGACGGCAAAAGTAATTGGACATTACTTAAAGAAGTAATCGTTACTTTTCCGATTACTTTATTGTGTGAAGACACATCTTTAGCGCTCATAACAATGACCTACTTCCAACCTATATTTCACATTTGCACAAGTATTGAAGAAGAAAAACTGGCTCCCTCTTCGTGGTCGTTGCACCTTCACAATGCGGACATAAGCATAGAATTTGTTTGAAGACGTTTGATGATTTGGGCGTTCGCCAGTGTGTGTGTGTGTGTGTGGGGGGGGGGGGGGGGAGCGGAGGGGGTTCTAGATCTTGTTAAGCTTGAGCTAGTGTTGTCGCTCAAAGTTTGCGTCGCTCATTTTATTATTCACATGTGAATGAGCTCGCATGTTATACAAAGAGCAGCAGCTCCAGGATTCGAAGCGGATCATGTGTAGTATCCATTAGCCGAAGAGATCGCCCCAACCACTTCTCAACTCGAAACATATTGCTTGTCACAAAGACCACGTAGGAGAAATGTGGAAATATTTCAACTGCTTTTGTTATATTTTGCATCCGCTTTAGGCATTCTTCGGTTCTGGTTCTCTTACGGGCCGCGAGTAGGTACCCTAAGCAGGATTTTTTGTTATTTTTTTTTATTTCTGTGTGTGTGCGTGAGGGGGCTAGTTTGAACGAAGGACTCACAAAGCTACATTCTGCTTCCTCAAACTTGGCCCTGAATAGCCTTTGTCACTCACTGGTGCTTCCCACTCCCAGTCCCAACTAAAAAAAAAAACTAAAAAAAAACGGATATTTTACAGAAACTGTACATAGAAAAAGATTGACCTCGTTTCCTACAGCTCCGCAAAAATCTTTCGTCTTTCCGTTCGAAAAAAAAAAGAAAAAAAAGAGCAAATTTTATTTTTGTCGTTTCATAAAAAAAAGGCGTGTGCCCGGGGGGGGGGGGGGGGGGGGGGGGGGGGCGTGGACAAATTGTAACGGTTACAAGTAATTTTATTACTTCAAAAAGTAATCAGATTACTCTTCTGATTACTGCCTAATAAAAGTAATCAACTGATTACAAAATTACTCGAAAAAGTAATTGATTACAAATAATTTGATTACTTGTAATGCGTACGGTACAAGTCTGTGTGCCGCTCGAACTCTGCTTTGCTCGGAAACAGTGTGACCACTTGGACGGCAGATTCCCCGCCCTCGGCGCCTGGCGTACGGATTACGTCGATCGTTCAGCTAGTCGCACTCTTCCACCACGATTTTAGATGACCGTGATTGAAACATCACGTGCACCATATTTCCAACCACCGAGAGTTACTCTGACGCACTTATTAAGTTTATTTCTCGCGACCACCGCCAGGGTATTATTTGCGGCTTTTGGTTGGCCACACTCAAATTTGTGAAGACGCTCTGAAATACACCCAGCACGCTTTCGGCAAATAACGTCTCTTGATTTGCGTTTTACACTTCCCAATGAATGACCAAACTCTGTATATACGGCTCTGGGGGACTGAACCCAGTCTGACTGGGTTCTGCAGCGCAAGTTTTCGCTCCACGTGATCCCAGCTGTTGTGCGCTAGCTCACTCGGCCACCGATCCGACTTCGCACTTACATACAAAAAGCACAGTGTTCGCCGCAGAATTTAAAGGGACACTGACAGGGCATTTATGCTCTCCAAGTTTTTTTATTTGTACATGACATATGAGAGCCCAGATATTCAGAACAAAATTGGTTGCTCGAAATTCGTTTTCTTTTCGCCCGAACGGCGATCGAGAACTGACCGGTTTGAGTCGCGCTCACTCTCTTCTCCGTGGTCACGGGCCGTTTTCTATAATTTAGACCGACGAGGTAAAGCACCTTAGAGCACTGATCTCTTTTGTCGTAGGCTGGATTGCGGATCAAGGCTTGTCTTGCTAGGGTCGAGTGGCACCACCGGAGGCCATCACTTGACACCAGCTAATGCACAGGACTCTACGGGGAAAGCGTGAAAAAGTGCCGTTTCCCCCGCTTCTAAACTGTTTTCGGCACTAAAACTTTTTGGCTGCTGTCCAGGGGACAAGCAAAATAGCTTGTGCACAAGCATTAAAACTGACAGCCCTCACAGTCCTTATAAATTAATGTTTTGCGGTCGAGAGTGACTCCGCTGGGCGAAAAATGTAGTGCAATTCAATGAGACAAGAGTCACCTAGAGTTACCGCGGAGTCTGTGGCGGTTTCGTCAAGTTGGGTTTAGCAGACGACAAGCTTGAGGGCTTTGCTGCGCGGAATTCCCTCACCCCCGGAAAGCCGCTGTTAACATGGAACTTTTTCGACATTTATCAACTTCTGGGTTCTCTGAGGGTGGTCTTATTGACGGCAAGTTCCTTTGTTTACTCCACTACGAGAGCAAGCTTGCCAGCTCAGCCGTGGGTACTCCGGCACGTTTAATTTTCTTAATCGGCGTTCGAACGCTTAACAAATACCGATTCGATCTCCAAACACCCGATATAATGATCGCAACACATCATAAAATACTTGCGCGTACAAGCTTCAATATTCCTACTTTTGTTTGTTTTTCCCATAGACTTGAGTGTATTGCTTGGTGTCAAGTAATGGCCGCCGGCGGTGCCACCGGTGGGCTCCCGATCCACGATCCAGCCTACTACAATAGAGATCAGTGTCTTGGAGCGATAAAGTGGCAGCTGAAAGTGATCCCCAATTGACCGCCCCCGTGTTGCACATTTTGACCACTAGACACGTGATGTTATAGTTTTACCTCTGAATTTTAACTAAGTACCGCGCACATATAATTGCTTATTGATCTTTAATAACAGTACCGACAAGATAAGTTAGGCTTCGTTTGTTTTCAGTCCAAAGTGGGCTTTTACGACAAAAATTCGGGAAGCTTCGCAATGCCCCCGCTAGATGCCGTCAGCTGCGGTGCTGTATTTTACTGTATTTCAGGTTTCTACCGGAGCTAGACACTGATCTCTAGGGCTAACAATAATGAAAAAAAAAATAGTCTAGCATTTTTTATAGCGATCGCAATACAAATATTGGCTCAGTTTTGCGTAAAAGCTTCAGGATTTGTTACCGTTGCGCGTCTAGTGGTCAAAATTGTACAACAAGGCTGCAGCCATGAGGGGGTCATTTTTTCCTGGTGAATAGGATATTAGTTTATCTCTCTAAGCCCCCTTTACTTCGCTGGTTTAGACACAGCCACCAAAAAGAACCAAGGTCGTGGGTAATCGAAGGCACACACTCACTACTGAAAATAGACAAAAATATGATACTCATTCTTTTTTATGGATTCTGAAAAGCTGAAAATGCAATGACTGAAAACAAAAAATTGCACAGCCACGAGACTTCCGGTAACTTTCTCATCCTCTATATTTCTTCGTCCTCCCCAGCCCAGTTTCGGTTTCGGTTTTGAGCAGTCGAGCCCTTTTACCTTATTAAAAATATACGTGACGCTGTAGTAAAATATTGATACCATAATAAATCGCCTAGCACTGGCAAAAAATAAATGGGCCCGAGAGGGGGGGGGGGGGGGGGGGGTGTTAGTGTATCTTTAAGGCACAATTGTCTGCTGACAGGCCTAACGCATGTTCGAGGAATTTCGGCTTGATACATGTAACATGTGTATGCCTAAAATATATGTGCAGACTGTTTTTTGTACGCTGTGAGCGCGCCTCAACAGTCGTTTCGGAGACTGAAGAAGAGCCTGCCATTTATTGATTCCACCGCTAGATTTAGTGGAGAAACTGAATTGGTGTATTGGTCACATGATGTCAATTTCCCAGCTAGTGGAAATTGATGTCGTGTGACTTATACACCTAGCACGGAAAATAAACATGAAATGGTAGTGTTCCTTTTTTTTTCTTTTTTGTCGTACTACTCAGCACACGGCTCAGTACCCGGTTCAGCACCCGGCACTGTGTCGCCATGCTTCGGACGGCACGTGAGCTATCGGATCATTGCCGAAATTCATTTGCGGTTAGAAGCAAACTTGAAAATGACGTAGCCGGGCTCTGATGCCTATGGGAACCAACAATCAGCCGGAACATCGGTATTCAGCACCATGTCGCTGTACAACAAACCTAATCGAAATTCCAAGCTAAAAACATGATTCTCCTGTAAAGCTCTCAAAAATATTAGGCGCTGGATAAAATCGGTCATTCGCGTAAAGTCCTTACTTCGAACTCTTTATATTCACGTTCCGCCCATTGAAAAACACGGAGAAAGAGCCCAAGCACGCACCTGTTCTCACCGCACTTCTGTTCAGTTCCGGATATGATTGTCCGTCTGCTAGACTCACCGTCACCTTGG